GCTTGTAAGGATGTATCTGGTTGTATGTTTGAGCTTATGACTATTTTAGATGACTATTGTGTTTTATCTGAGGCCTCGATTAATTGGGATAAGTCTATTTATTTCTTACACCCCTCTCATTCCCTATGTGTTAACTGGGCCTTATGGTTGGTACCAGCTAACACAGCAAACAAATTCCTGGGAGTTCAGGTCTCCTTGTCAGATTGTGCAGAAATCCAAGATGGTATATTAGCAGATAAAGTCCTTGGGCGTATTGCCAGCTGGGAAAGGCGCACTCATCTATCGTTATTCGGAAGGGCGTTGGTTCTTTCAGTATCTGCTCTGTCCCTGCTATGGTTTCCACTCTCAGTGCATCGCCTGGGTCAAAAGTCGTATCGGAGAATTAAGAATGCAGCAGGCAGGTACATTTGGAAACCCGAAGCCACGGCGGAACAGGGTTATATTTCCAAGGTGGCATGGGAGGTTATTGCCACCCCAAGGAAGGAAGGCGGGCTGGGTGTGTTAAATCCCCTTCAGCAAAATGATGCTCTCTTATCCAAGTGCCCAGTGGAAGCCATGCTGGAGGCTAGGCAAAAAATATGGATGCCCTTTCCAGAGTATATACTGAGAAGGGAGTGAAAACTTCAAGATCAGTCCAAGGTCTGGTTGTGTTTGCTCCTGCCCTTCTTCTGCAGTCGGAAGCTAAAGTCTAGACTATGGGGAAACATCCTCAGTGCATGGGAGAGGATAAAACCGGATAAATCCCAGCCCCCAACAACAAAACAAGAGATATTAAATCAATTTTTGTTTGATAATGAGAGGATTTTGCAAACGAATGGATGCCCTTTTTCCGCAGCAAACACCCCGGGAGCCTTTGGAAAGGCCTGGGTTAAAAAAGAGATTTTGCAGATCCGGGATATCTGTGACCAATCGAAGGATACCTTCTTGGACTTAGTGCAGTTACGCTCCCAAGGCTTCATAGAGTGGAGTATCACACATCGCAGTTTTTGGCAGCTATCCCAGCTTCGTGGATACAACTTTTACACTCTTCCTCTGAGAATGCAGCCGACACATGGCTTCAAGCTGATGCCCATCCGTCCCAAATATATAGGGTGTTGGGTCCCGACTTGGTCTCGGGGATGAGAGTTCAGGTATGGCGGTTACCGGTAGGTGTTCGGGTGGGAAGAGCAGGTTATCTCATATTGGAGACAGAGGACCTCAGAGTCGATAGTACTCAGCACTTAGAAGAGGTTCGTGTACTCTGTCAACGAAGTAGACAGGGTAGCCAGGTAGCCACGTTGTTGAGCCCAGTTAACAAGTATCGAATAGAACCTCTCATGTCGGAATGGAATATTAAGGGGGAGTTTTCCCCGTTGCTTCACTACAGACCAAAGGTGGGAGTACAGGTACAACAGGCAAGGCTTGAGAAGTCCGCAACCTCTCTGGCCCTTCTCAGGCCGAGACACACCAGTTAGCAGGGGTCACGAAACAAGGAGTGCGGAGCCTGTGGAAGGGGCTGACTAAGATCCCGGTCCAGAAACATGCGGGTATTATGTGGCTCCAATCGCTCCTAGTTACTGCAACCGCCATGTGGTTATCGACAAAAGGATTAGACATCCCCAGTCAGTGCATGCGTTGTAACTGGGGGTGGGAAAGTATGGTTCATTTATGGCTGGTTTGCCCTCTGACGGATGAATTGATGATGTGGTGGAAACACCACTGGCACAGAATAGTTGTGGGGACCTTTGATTGGGCTGATGCATGGATGCTTACAGGAGCCCTTCCAACAGGTATGCAGTACATGGAGGGTTGGGGTTATATAGCTCTCTGCTGCAGGGGTGTATTGATGGATGTAATATGGTCTGCCAGAAAGAACCGGGTCTTTCGTGGAGAAGACACCCCCTAGAGGCAGCAATAACAACAAATCAAGCAACAACTTCGAAGGATTATTAAGGCTGACTGGCAAAGGAAGAATGCATGGTGGTTCCATAAAACGTGGTCGAAAGATAATCGCTTGGCGTCCGTCTCTGCAGAAGGCAAAATGTCACTGTGCTCTTGGCTTTATGATACGCATGATTAACACCAGTTTCTGGTCGCTTTTGAGATCAGGGAAGCCGGCTTAGGCTTCCTTTCAGCTTACTAGGCAGAACTGATGCTTTGTTTGGTAAATAAATAATGTCTGCTTAGGATTGTGATACTCTAGTATGATTCTCGTGAGCCACTCATTGGATATATGAATCTATATTTCGTAGTTTGAGGAGGCTCTCCTTTTACTGGGCTTCAAGGTGAATTTTGGAAGGAGTTCAAATTCTGAGGATTGGATGGGACGCTGGACCCGGTTTCCAGCTTTAGCCTATGCTGGGTAATGGCCCCAGCACTCCTCCGGGTTATATGTCGAGGGTTCCCGACCTCATCCTTTGGTTTGGTAATTGCAAGTTGACTCTTCCAAAAAAAAAACAGAAGCACGGGGCTAGAGGTAGGCAAACGCAGCCTCTAGATTTACCCATCCCGTGCGGAAAGGAAGCACGGGGATTGGTTGGTGTGTTGAAAAGGTGGAGGCAAACTTGCCCGCAAAGGCAAGTCTTCCTGATCGGGTAACAAGAACCTTGGGAAGTCCCGCAAATTGTTGTGGCGGTGGAGTCCCTTTTCACTTGCCCATTCCCATCAGCTACGATTTTGGGCTGGCAGATGTTCTCCTGGCGCCAAGCACCACCAAGCAGTGGCGTCCTACCCTAAAGAAAAACAAAGCAAACGCGCACAGGCGTGGGGGAAGGGGGGAAGAGGGAGAGAGAGAGAGAAATGAATAACGGAAATGTATATTCCCGAAAAAGAGGGAAGATACATTCCCGTTTTACAACTCGGAAAGGAAAGAGGGAGAGAGAGAAAAAAAAAAACTCGGCGAACTGCATGGGGCTCTACGCACCGTTCGCTGTCTCTCTCTCTATGCACCTCTCTCTCTCT